AAGCTTTGAGTGCGCTGAGATAAAAGAAAGAAGAACCTTATTTCCCCATGGTTCATACGACCAGCATGTGGGCTTTTCTGAGAAAAACAACCGGATATTTAAAAACCAGATGGAGCCACCTTGCGGAAGTTCACAAATAATTTCAAGGGGTGCAAGACATTCCTTAATCGTGAATAATACTTCGTCAACCATCGCTTCTAAGTCAACAAGTGGACAGTGAATTAAAAACAGAAATTCATCGACAAAACGAAATGCTTTGTGCACTAGGGTGTTATTTAACGTAGTAGTAGCCAAGGCAATGCTAGACCAGATAAAAACAGATCGCTAAGAATGGGTGCTATGCACGAGACGATGCACACAGCCTTTTTTTGCAAGCAGAAAGCGTTGCCCCATGAAATAAACGTGGAGGAAAGGTAAAAAATAAACGTTCTAAAAAACGCCATGCGTGCGCGGAAGACGTAGCACAGTCACAGTGAAAGCTAGAAGAGTGGCCTTTCGGAGCCTTTTCGAAACACTCATTGGATAACTACTGCAAGCACACTTGCTTGATACACACTAGACCACTATTAATAAATTTATGTGGGTAGTAGGCCGGCATTCGCTGTGCTATTTTTCGTCATTCTTCCAAAAAGCTTGGTGTCCGCTAAACACTTGCAAGGAATTTTGTGCCAATTGTTCATGCAGTGGCTGACAACGATGAGGAATTATGGCTGAAGTGGATATGCGCCACTGTGAATAGGGGAACAAAAACAAGCTTTTGTGATGCGTTGGAGCATTGAACGACTCACTCGTTACGCTATTCGCATTGTGCGACGACTGGTTATGCGTTCGCTGTTTTAAAATGCTTTATAAGTCGTATTAACGTGATGGCTTTCCTGACATCCAGCCTGCATAAGGCAGGTTAGACAACATGTCACAAGCATTGGTGTAGCTCAGTGGTAGAATTCTGGGCTGGCACCCAGTGGACCCGAGTTCAAGCCCCACTGTGTCATTGGTGCTAGGTCAAGCATGCCTAAGACAAGTTTGACAACAAGTTACAAGCACCGGCGTAACTCAGTGGTAGAATACTGGGAAGCAGCTCCGGAGCCATCTACCGGGCAGGAAACAGACTCATAGGAGCCCTGTCCACGGGGCGTCACAACTGAATCTTACAGAGATCGTCCACAATGCCCTCTCACTGGGTCCGAAGTTCGTGGTCGAAAAGAGGAGGCCACCGGAAGAACCGCTGTCCATGGTGAGACAGCTTGCTAAACTTGTCCCTGAAAAAGAAGGTTCCCGCATTGTGTCCGAAGGTGTAGACGTAATTTAACGTCATAGTATCCAGTGTCCTAAACACTCCGTAAAACACGCTTCAGAGTATTTTACGAGTAATTGCTTGTGCGTGTTGCCTACCGACAAGGAAGGCGGTTTTGGTGTTTCGCCTACAGCCACGTTTTGTGCTAAGGCAGGCGAAGCCATCTCCAGTGTTCTTAAAAGGCATGATCAGGTTGTTCTACCCAAGTTTAAGGCACAGGCCAAGAAACTATGCAGTAGGCTTAATCTTTACACGTTAAGGAAAAGTAATAATGACAGCAAACGATGTCACCTTGAAGTTTTCTTCAGCACTAAAACATACAAACCAGGTACTTAAGGGTACTTATATCGGAGAATGACACATGGCAGAAGTCAGTCGCTTTGTTTCTTCAAGCCAAGCTTGCCTGTTTACTGGTGAATGACCCTTTCTTGATTAGAAACTCTGATCAAGTAACTTAATTATGAATGACCACTTTCATGACAGTTACTAAGCCTTTTCGGTTGACATAAAAGAATATTACTCGATCCTTCATGGTGCTCTGTTGTCTGCTATTGAACATGCCATAGATGATTACGGTGCCATGCGCTTTCAGAATGAAGCTTCATTGTCAACAAGTCATTTTTAAGAACATTTTATCTTTTTACCTTTTCTGCACTCTTATTTCATGGGACAAAGGTTCGTACTTGCAAAAAAAGGCTGTGTGCATCGTCTCGTGCATAGCACCCATCCTTAGCGATCTGCTTTATCTGGTCTTAGTATTGCATTGGCTACTACGTTAAATAACACCCCAGTGTGCAAAGGATTTCGTTTTGTCAATGACTTCCTGTTTTTAATTGACTGTGCACTTGTTGACTTAGAAGCGATGGTTGACGAAGTGTTATCCCCGACTAAGAAATGTTTTGCAGCCTTTGAAATAACTTGTGAACTTTCTCAAGGTGGCTCCATCCGGTTTTTGAATATGCGGTTGTTTTTGTCAAGAAAGCACACATGCTGGTTGTATGAGCCACGGGCAAATAAGTCTTTTCTTTCTTTTGTCTCGGCGCACTCAAAGCATACCAAGAGAGGCATCACAAATTTGTATTTTAGAAATGCCCTGACCAAATCATGTCACCCCCAAGATGGCCTCCAGTTTCGAGACTTAGAGCAAGTCTCTCACCGAAGCAGGGTACCCAGTTCTGCTGCAGGTCTCTGTAGCTGAACGCATTCTGAAAGTATTGCACAAAAGATACAGGCAACAAGAGGTGGAGCGTTCGGGCAGCAGAATACGTGTTAGATACTGTATATGCATGCTATCTCTCGTAACTTGAAGAAAGTGACCCAGCGGGCTAACGTATGCAGTGTTTTCAGCCCCCGAAAAAGTAGGGGAACTTTGCAAGTTGACTTGCCCATATAATGACATTTACTTGGTCTGTGATAAGAGACACCTGGTTAGTTATGTAGATTGTGTGTGCGGCGCTGTGTACATGTTTTTGTTATCGTGTGGGAAGTACTACGTAAGGCAGACGAAGCGGTGTCTCATTGATAAAACTACGGGAACATGCCTACAACACAAAAAAAAAAAAACTTTCAGCGGTAGCGTTCCTAGCAGTGCACTGTAAAGGTTGTTGGTGCTCCCCTGATCTGTACAGCTGCATCGTTACCGGCCGGTCTCGGAATCAGCTGACACATAAAATTAAAGAAGCTGAAGCTATAGCAGATATGGGAAACTTGTGTGTGAGACTGCCATCAATGCACTTGCGTATAAAAAAACGACGTTTCTTGGAATGACGGTTCAGCGAACTGGGAGCGCGGGGGTAAACACAGACACAAAGCAAAGAAGAGGCACACAGCACGAGCGCTCGTGCCGTGTGCCTCTTCTTTGCTTTGTGTCTGTGTTTACCCCTGCGCTCCCAGTTCGCTGAACCATCATGAATTACCAACTAGCCCACCTTTCCATCCTATTGCAATGCGTTTCTTGGAATGACACCACGTGCAAGATGAGCTGTGTTTTATGCATGTATAAGATGAATGCTAAGGGCATGAAATGAACAGTTTTAGCGTCTATCTTTCTAGACGGCTCTGTCGTCTTTCGCCCTTTATCTTTTTTTTTTTCCTTTCACATGTGTCATGCCAATACAAGCTAAGCTCATGGATAACCAACTCGCCCGAGCCACAACACTTTTGAATTTTATCAGAAAGCTCGTGGCATTATACTGGCACATAGATAGCTAACATGAGCAAAAAAAAATGCGTGCTTCAGAGCCACTGCCCATTGCCTTTACCAGCGCTGCTCGCAACACTTGCCCTCAAACCAACAGCGCTGCGCGCACCATTCCGCGGGAGCAACGAGAAGGGGTCTGGCACTGCAGCGGAGTTTGACAACTGAAAGTATTTAGTATTGTTGAGCACACCTGAGTTGACCCAATGCAAGTCGCAAAGCCCATAGACTGTTGAATTATGTTAAAATGGTATTTTAAAAAAACCCAAACACAAACGCTCACAAAACAGCAAAAAAATTATGGACCATCTCCCCAAAGAGAACCCTGATGGGATGCGAAGCAGGAGCGGTGCGCACGGTGTTGGCCCGGTTGAAACGGGCATCAACGGAGATGGTGAAAGAACGGTTTGAAGCGAACCTCGGTGCAGCTTTTACTGGAGTAAACATTTGTTTGAAACAAAAATACATGAGAGGAGAGACGCGTTGAAGATGCTTGTGCTTGGCTTCCGCGACTTGTGTCTCGTCAGTGTTACCAACGCGCCGTCTCTGTTCTCGAACGCGATCGGCGTTCTTAACTCCCACCGGTTGGTGTCGTTGGTCTTCCACTGCCGACGCTCGCGTTTGGCTTCCCTGGCTCGCACCTCATCGGTGTTCCAGACGCAATGTCCCTATTCGCGAACACGATCGACTTCGCTAACCTGTGACGCCGGCGACAGCCGAGAAAGGTACACGCTCACTAGCCGGAAGCATGCCCCGGCAGCGTCCTGCCCGTTGGCATGATCGCGCAGCCAGCAGTGGCGCGCTGTCCACATTGCCAGCGCCACGGGACCACGACAAGGCTAGACAATGGCGCGCAAGCGTGCCTATACACGGCGTCTTCTCGCCAACTGATAGAGAGAGGTAACGCGGGTGAGGAGATGATGCCGACGTGAGGAATGGGCTTGAGCGTTGCGAGAGGTGGAGAGGGTGAAGCGAGAGATGACACGCAGCAAGCGGTGACAGGATAGGGAAAGAGCGAAGTCACGCGTGCGCACTGCGAGGTAAGGTGTGGCCTACTTGGCACCACCCCGCTGCGGAGAGACAGGGTTTCACAGGCTAGTCAAAGAGCTGCTTCGCATCTAAAACTGAGGGAGCTGTAGAATGCTTTCTTGCGAACTCCTATAAACATGCAAAACAATGAATGGGCCTGGTTTGTAGAGGTTCATGACTGTATTGCAGTTAGTATTACAAAAATGATACATGTAATAATTTACTGTACCTTACGATACAAATGGCAAGTATTATTTTGGACATCATTATTCCTTCAGTATCTTAGTAATTGTAGTATGATACGGATTAAAAATATTGCCAGGCCCTGTTTATAGCAGTTTTAGTGGCAATTCAGTGCATTAATTCATGCTAACACTTATCCCACAAATACATGCTCATATAACACCCTAAAAAAACCTCCACGTGAAACATAGAGACAAATAATTAAACATTGCTCAATAACTTAAGAAAGAAAAGTACCTGTAATGTCTTTACTTCTTGCTTAAGAATGCGGGTTGCCTCCTCAGCAGAGGATGCCCTTTCCTAAAAAAAAGAATTGCACAAGAGAATCTCAATCCACTCATTTGTTTAAATGAAACTTTATTTTAATCCACTTAATCCACTCATTAGTTTGATATGCATTCCAAGAAGTACCTGGTTGTTAGTAATAGTCTGAATGTACAGCAAGAAAGTACTACACAATACAGTTACAAATACATTCTAACTAAACATTCTGTTCCATCAAACTCAATCAAATAGTTGCCAGCTATCTGGCCAGCATAAACCTGTAAAGTGGTCACACTATTGGTAATTCAACAATCTTGTATGGACATCTTTCTTGAAGGCAAGGTAACAAATGTTGTAATGCATTTATTACTATTATAGTAGTTTACAAAATGGGGAATCCAGCTACTGTAATAGTGCATTACTCTGGAGGACACCATAAGATTTCAGCATGGTGGGTGAATATGAGTAGTGCATAAAAAGGCCTTAAAATGAAACAAGTTCACTGATTTTATACATTTTCTAGTACAGTGGATTGCACAGAAAACAGGTCTATCTGCTGCAGTCTTGCCAGTTTGGTGAATATGTTTCTTCAACAAAAGGTGATTGCAGACAGTTTGAGCACATACATGGGCAATCTATGTAGTCAAACAACTTGCCTCTCTTGGCAGTTATTAAAACGTCAGATTGCATCCTGATAATTATGACCACAATATGAAACAAGTACCCATTGAATGCTGTCCATACCTGCAGTCCATATTTCTGAAAACCACGGGGAGTGTTCTGTAATTATCCACTATCAGAACTTACATAATATCTCTCTCCCCTTGCATTGGCATGCCTAAAAACTTACATTTCATGTTTCAGTAACAGGTATTAGCAGAGTGAGCTCATGAGCACCTTTTCTTAAATTATACTGGTTTTGTTTTTGCATAATATTAGTAGAATTTGTAAGTTAAAATCATGCTTGCCATGCAGTGTTATGTGGTAACAGATGTCGTATCAACTGATATTGTAAATTCTAGAAGAGACTAATGCTCTATACATATATCATGTTATCTGAACCATCTGTTCATTTTCTTTTCTTCTTTTTTTTCTGAAAAATTAAGGGGGCAGACTGCTCTTTGGGACCGAAAAGTGACAAAAAATTCATTTTTTAAAATTGACATATTTGGTTTCAGCAAGTATTTTTCTATCTCTCTGCAAATTTTCACACACCAAGAAGTGGTACTTTTTTGTAATGTCACTCTAACTGTCCAGATTCTTGGTGCTGTTAACATGCAGAACCTGCAAAAAAAAATGGGGAACAGACTTTGAGGCTACCTTATAATTTGCCAGCACCTGTGTTAGCTCTGCTACGAATTTATGAGCACTTTTATAAGGATTCAAAACATGCACACCATGATTGTTGCTTTTTGAAGAAGCTCTGCGTTTTCAGTTTTTCCTATTTTTCTCAAAAAAGTAAATGTATGACTGTTCAATTTTGAGGCCTCAATATCTCTGCAACTAGGGCAGGTACAACAATAATTCTTTTTGCAATGGAAACCTGTATGTGTGTAGAATGCAAGTGGGGCAGCAGAGTTTGTAGCACAAGCATTTTTAATTAATTACTCATCAAAATTGTAACACAATTCCAACTGCTTTTGAAAATGGATAGTTCATTTTGCTGTAAAATAACCAAGAAGGCCAAAAACAAAATCTCTTGCATACTTTCAATCTATAGTCATTAGTCTATGTCAACATATTTTGAATATAACTTTTAATTAAGAACTTTTTTTTATGGTGGCCTTAAACAATAGGGGGTGAACTTGAATTATCTCAGGAACAAGATGGGTTACAGTAAAACTAAGAAGATATTTGAAATCAGCAAAAAAAACTGCATACTTCTGTGCAGTTTGATCAAGATCACTGAAGAAATAAACAAAAAAATGTCTATGACCAGTCTGCCCCCTTAACTGCGTTTGCTGTCTTGGAAAGAAGTGACTAAGAAACCATACACGATTGCTACAAGGAATTGAAATTGGCTGCACATTTCCCTCATAAACACACTGTCAGTGTGCTGAAATTGGAAAGAAAAAAGTAGACCAATGAAGCACATTGCAAATGGCACTAGACTTACCAGTGCGGCTTTAAGACTGCATTCCACTCGTAGTACCATACTTTCCAAGGCAGCAGTTTCTTCATGTTCTCTGGCCTGCTGCTCTACCAGCTGTTCCCCCAAGCTATCCAATCTGCAACCACCACCAAGTAGTATTACAAGTTGTATCCAATATTTCGAATGCAAAGGTCACTACATATTCTTATATAGTGGGTGAGATAGTGGGCAATGCCACTCCACCATACGAAAGATATCAAAGTCACTCTGTTCAGGGGTATACTAGACGATTCATTATTTCTTTCATGAGATTTCATTACATATTGCATATCATAGCATACATCTTTCACCTGAAACAAATGTCCGTGTCCTGAGTGTAAATTGCCCCCCATTGGCTAGTGTGATATTTGACAAGTGTGATGAACGTGAATATCATTTCTGTAATGAACAGAAATAATATTTAGTTATGCAGAAAAAATAGCAAGGCTGTACCCTTTCTTTGGCTGAGTATGCTTTTTGTTGCCCCCTTGAGTATAACATAAATGTCATTTCTTTGATTAGTTTGCAAGCTTCAATTTCGCTAATGTAAAAAATGCATTTACAAAGTTGCTATTATGAAGTCACAGTAATGACTTGATATCACAAAGCTCTTTCATGCATGAGAGCCTTCATAGTTTTAACTAGTGCATTTGCTTCCACATAAAATAGACATCAGTAGTTACAATATCTGTCTTAATTAAAGCACTGAAGATATGATGCAAAAACGAAAATCAGGTTTATGGGTCAGAGAAAGCTATGTACAGTAACAATCACTGGACGTCACAGCAGCAAAGCAATCTAGTAAACCACCATTTATACCTGACACTGCTACAAGAACCAAAATGCAAAATGTGCATAAAAAGTGCCTATTACAAGGATGTTATGGAAGCTTCCAAATGGCTAGCCACTATGCATGCAGGAGTAATATTATTGTATATAATTAAATACTTATGACTGAATTATGCTATCAATGAGCAAGTTTTTTTTGCCACATTAGGAAAAATGCCAGGCCTCTGTGGAACATGCCGCACAGTCACAGTGCAGAAGGAGCGACCTTTCTAGAGCCTATTGTAAACTCTCTTGAGACAACTACTGCAAGTATTGTTGCAAAGCACCCACTATGCTATAAATCATCATTTTGCAAAGTAGCAAGGTACTCACTCTTGTCTGTAAAGCATTTATGTACCCACAGAGCTGCACACTTTGGCATTGCGGTGGTTGATGATAATGAAGAGCTATGGCTGAGCTCTTTGTAATTCATGGGAAGCTTTAAACCAACCACTGATGCCTGGTGTTATTTCACTCTTCTGCCACACAATACTACATATGTTAACGTAATTTCTCACCCAACATGGCCTTAGGATAGGCTTCAAGCCCTATACAAGAAGATTGAAGCACCATTGTTGTTGTGTTGTAGAATACTCGACTGCCACACACAGCGCATGAGTTCAAATCCTGCTTTAACCCATGCTTTTTTTTCCCCTCTACTATGTGTGATGGCTGCAATGGACACCAGTGCCCATGAATAACTATGCCACCAAAGTCAGCAGTAGTGAGCTTAAGCTCACGCTCTAGAAAAGTACCTGAAAATTGAATTTTTCCATAACATTAATCATGAAGCTTACTTTACACACAGTGCAAATTGGAGCTATACATAAAGCTCTGGAGATAAATAACAAACAATGTTCACCTTTTCAACAGTTCTTTGTTGGTCTTCTGTGCATCTTCAAGCTCACTATGCAACTTCTTGTTCTTTTCTTCAAGTCTCTCCATTACATTCTGGATAATTAAGAAATAAAAGAAAGGGCTGCACCAACAGGAACAACTCATCAATACACACACAAATTTATTATTTATGGAATAACAATTAGCCCTCAGTCAATTCTTGTTAAACATATACAGTTATAATAGCACGACATTGTCTAACAGCCCCATGAACATTAATGTCATTACTCTTGAAGGTCGCATCAAACTACCAAGATTTTTGGTTCACTAGCTATGGCACCAGCTCAGTTCTGTGTCTTAAGTTCTACCATCGTAAGCTAAAAATAGTACTTGGTGTCATCATGACCACCGTTTGATGTGTATTCACACACAAATATTAAATGCAAAGTATTTATTTGCATAATGCAGGCAATTTCAGCATGCATCTGTACATCTGTCTGTCTGGCCACCTAGGTCTCGGTGCTCTCGTAATCACCCCCTAAGCTTGGGGTAAACAAAGATTTGTATGAGAAAGTAAGATCGTTTAACGAATATGACTCGCTGATCATGATATGCATAATGTCACAATCCCGTCGTGTATGCCATAAAACCCTTTCCGCCATATGATGGCACATACCCATGGGCGGGTAGTTGACTGTTTATATCTACCCAGGAACGACGAGAACAGACAGGAGTAATTTTAATGTGTGAGTCTAAAGAAAAAACTGACATTGGCAGTGTTGACCAGATGAATACAAAGAATAAATGTTAGGGTTCCAGCAGAAATCGAAACCCAGAATTCTGCTGGGCAATCAAATATTTCAACACACAGTCAAGCCAGGTTTCAAAACTACTTTTAAAATAAACACTAATGTTCATGAAACATAAATTGTGGTTGCAGTGCTGGCTATCCAATTTCATAAACATTACATATGTACTCATATGATAGAGCCACCATGTGAGATTAATGTGAATTGTATAGTCAAACACCATCTGCTGAAGTTGATTTATATAGCCGTGTCCAGGGCTACAATCCTCGCGAGCACCGGTGCTTCATATCAGTTTACCGCTAGTGGTGTTGCTAATATCCATGTTGTTGTTTGCATCGTTATATAACTGTAAACAACTGACTGTTTAACGTTATGCAATTGTAAACATGCGCAACTGTTATGTAACTACACTGTAAACTTTTTCAGATTTCTGTCTGTAACATCAATCTGTAGAGGTGACCGATATTTTGATTGTTGTTACTAATTTAAATGCCAAAATTAGAGGCTATACAGCCCTTGAAATGAGCTTCTAAATGGTGCCTAAGTAGATGACGTCGGCATCTGCACACCCTCCTCGCTGCTTGCTCACATGTTGTGTGCGTGCATGCGTTGGCGGCCTTGAGAGGGAAAGTTCTCAGCAAACGGCTGCATTTCCTTTGTGATCTTTCCCAATTTCCCAAGTTGGCCACGCCGACTTGGGAAATTCCTCGATGTCTGCGCGCACTTTTCACTCCGGGACGAAGGCGAGGGCTTTGAACATTTTGAACAATGGTTTTTCGGGATGCGGCGGAAGTGTGTTGTACCGAACTGTTACAGTGGGTAAGCATATCCTGCAAGGACAAGGTAAATGCCCTTAAAGTTTCTGGTGGCCCAGTGAGGTTTGAGGCCTTGGCTTGCACCATAGCAATGAAATACCGATAGCGGACAGGGATATATAGGGCGGTGCTATTGAGGTTAGCTTGGAGACGGCAAAGTTCTGGACAAAGCAAAACGGCCAGTGTTCTTAGCTGACTTCGTGCTTGCAATCTTTCTACGCTTTCTCAAATTCTTGGAAGCTGTTCACACACGCATGCACGTACACATATATACGCACACACAAGAAGAAAAATGAACTTGACGTGAAATGCGGAAAGCATACAAGGACAAATACTTTGGTGGCTCAAAGTAAACATGCTTACTCATGTTATTTGCATCTTGATTTTGCGATCACGAACAGGGTAAACTTTTCAATCACAATCAAAGATGCTGATTGATTGATTGATTGATATGTGGGGTTTAACATCCCAAAACCATCGTATGATTATGAGAGACACCGTAGTGGAGGTCTCCAGAAATTTTTACCACCTAATCTGAGCACACGGGCCTACAGCATTTTCGCCTCCATTAAAAATGGAGCTGCCGCAGCCGGGATTCTATCCCCCGACCTGCTGGTCACGAACCGAGTACGTCAGCCACTAGAGCACCGCGGCGGGGCCAAAGATGCCTATGCCAGAATTTCTGCGAAAATAGCTCTTGAATTTTGTCACATTAAAATTTGGAGTTGGCAAGTACACACCGGAACACATCCACCTGGGGGCGAGCGGCGATTCGGCGTTGAGTGGCCTTGAGCGAGAGCGCGGTGAGGGCAGCGCACCGTTTTCCTTCTCCGCTAGTGGAGTTTCTCGACAGAAGGCGCATCAGACATGTGCCCGATTTCGTGATGTTTTCAGGACGCCCGAGCGAGCGCATTTTTGCCTCCTCAAATATTCTTGCTCCGTGGGCTGGGGTTCCTTATCCAGAGAAATATAGCTCACAACATAGAGGAATACTATAGCATTAATGAAAGGGTTATAGGTATCGTGATTAGGCTCATTAAGAGATACAAGACGAAGGTGGTACAGGCTTATGCCCCTACACCTAGCCATAATGACGTGTCAGTTGAAAGCTTCTATGAAAACGTAAAATCGGCAATGAGTGCTAAAACATGAACATAATTTTTAGTCAGGTGCTACGAATATTCTTGAAATCGAGCTGTCACTGAAGCCAACATTTGAATAAGTGGTATTGTCTTCTTTATAACCTGAGCACATGCAAATGCATGCTTTGTAAGCTTTGCCCCAACCACAAAGGTTGAAGAGGAGAGGAAACAGGGAGTGATAACCTATGTCATGCTAATGTAAGCAGTTGCTGCCTTGAAGAAGACAAGATCGTCTGTCTCGAGCGACACGTTGGCTTGAGCGACACCCGATGTTCAATGCCCTCTCCTCCTCAACCTTTGTGGTTAGGAGAGCGTATTAAGCATACATGCACTAAGGTACGCAGTTTCGACCTTGAAGAAGACAAGTCCACCTGTTCAAGTGCTGACTCGGGTGAAAACCTTTGTTCAAGATCTTCCATCTTTTGTTAAAATTCTGCTTTATTCAGATGCTACAGCGCACAGTTTCACTTCTTTTGTGCATACTACTGAGCCTTTTTAGCAAAAAACAAGTGTATACTAGAGAAAAATATGTGTACTGCGTATCAACAAGGGCTATGCTACTTCAGCCATGCTAATACAAATGTCTATCTGCAGCCCCATTTGTGTTTGGCGATACATAGTGACTATTTTTTAGACCATACATATTTTTTATAACAATTCTACGAGTCTCGCACCTGTTGTTTTTGTACGCCAACTATATGTCGAAGCAGAAATACCTTGGGGCAACTAAAATGACATTGACAAGACTAATTAAAAATAAATATTCAACTTTATAATTATTCACTTGAGGGCATTTGTTCACATTAGAAAGTTGTGGTGTGTGCCACCTTATGACATACTTATTTTTAAAAAATCATGCAAGCTGCCCGTAATTCAATATAGTGATTGAACTTTAAGGGCGATATTGAAACTGATCATGCCCAGTATGCAGAAAACATGGCCCCTCTGTTATGTTAGACTGGAACTGCCAATGACAAGAAAGTGACAAAAATTTATTCAGGCACACTAAAGGAGAATATGGTCAGAAAAATTAACAAGCATTTCTGAAATACAAAAATAGACAACCCATTTTTTGGGTGCAATGTATGATGCTCCTCTGCTTCTTTCTTAAGTAATAATCAGGATTGAGAAACTATTTTGCCTGAAGGCAAGAAGTGCCGCAGTGGTGCCCCACCAGAGTTTTATGCTCCACACAGAAAGAAAAGATTGATACCGAAGTTTGCTCACACTCAGCATGAAAGGAACAGATCAACATCAAACACCACACATGAACGTATGCTGATTTGCTGGCCCAAGTGAGACGATTTGCCTCTTTTAGCAAAAAGATACAGCCACGACGTGCCTTCATTCAACTTTTGTCACTTGCCTTGTCATGGGCAGTTCTGGTCTGACGCAACAAAGCAGCTAAAATTTGATGGACAATCAAATCTCAAATTATGTGCGATTTCTGCAATTTTTTTAAAAACTGGCATGAGTGTCATGCCCAACAACTTTCTAATATAAACAACTGCCCTCAAGGTAATCATTAAAAAGTAAATTAATTGTTTTTGTCAATTAGCAACAAAAGTGTCATTTCAGAAGCGACACATTATTTCTGCCTTGACGTGGATCTCATTCCCAAAAATAGAGGAGCCTAATTGCCATAGGACTTTTACCAAAATTGTGTATTGTCTATAAAAAAATATACCTTGTAGATAGTTACTTTGTAAGCTCGAGGCATCTCTCTAATAACTTGTGCTATAACCTTTTAATAATGCTTTGTTAAAAAATGTGTTTTCCATGTGAACAGGGGCGTGTGTCTGCTCCTCTAGTCAGCCAGTATAATAACTCAGCAGCAGTGGCTGCATAGTGCTCCATACGGTTGACTGCACAGGCACATCGAGCATCCCATCTTGCAGATAATCTGCTATGAAAGCCAAGTCTGGTTCAGCTACGCTGCTGCTGAATTCATGTGCACTGTCCTCCCAAATTATAGTACATGTTGGAGGTCAGCTGATAAAAAAGTTTTGGAGCCATGTTGAAGCAGCAGACAATGTGGTGCTTATGTCTACCATTGTCTGCACTATTCTTCCCACTGACACAAGAAAGAGGTCAATACACGACAAATGCCTGGTGTCCTGACCTTGTGTCTATGTTTGCATGCCATGTTTCTTTCAGGATGAATGTGTACCAATTAGATCAGCTCTCTGTTATCTTCACACTAGGATTGCACCATTGCACGTTCCTACATGGCATCATGCTCTTCAACTACTTCATCATTAGGAATATATGTTATGCTCCCTCGCACAAAAACATAGGATGTGCAGTAACAACCAGCCCGCCAGCTGGTTTTAGTAAGAACATGTTTA